CAGATTAAATTAATACATATAACAGATTAGTTTAGAAGTATGGCTGGCCCTTAAGTGTCCTCCCCTTACAATTGTTGAAAAAAAAACCCTGCCAGAATTGTGTAAGATATATTGACAAGTTACTCTATCCAATGAGGATCATGAGTGTCTGAATAAGGACAGAAAGTTGGAAAGAAGAGAAACAGGGTTACTTGGTGCTTGAGAGAGCTTTCCTCTAAAATGTGGATAACCACTCTGGCAGTGCTGCCTTAGAGAACTTAATCCACAGGGAACAGCTGGCACATCAGTGAAAACAGTATTCTCAAGCAATAAAAAGGAGCAAAGAGGGAAAAGTGGTGGAGGAAAAACTAGCTACTTTGAATGCTTGGGATGAACAGGGGTGTAACCTTGATGCCAGGGGAAATATTGCCTGCTTCTTTCTGCTGATCGCAACCTCCCTGCTTCCCTGCCCTTGACATATCTACTAGTTGTGGACACAAGGAGACACTCAGCCCATGGACTCTTACTATGAGTTTGGTAAACGGATATAGCTGGGCTTCAAGTGTCATTTTCCAACATCTAATTTTTCTATTAATTCATCAAAGTATTGAAGAAATGCATAGGGAGGGGCACAATTAGGTAAAAACAAAAATGGGTTCTTGAAAGTTACTGATCTAGATTACAGGTTGGACACAGTGACTCCCATCTGTAATTCCAGCACTTTAGAAAGCTGAGACAGGAGGATTGCTTGAGGCCAGGAGTTTGAGACCAGCCTTGGCAACATAGCATAACGCTATCTCGACAAAAAATGAAAAAATTAGCCAGGCATAGTGGTGTCAGCCTGTGGTCTCAGCTACTTGGGAGACTGAGGCTGGAGGACTGCTTGAGCCCAGGAGTTTGAGACTGCAGTGGGCTATGATTGTGCCACTGGGTGACAGAGTGAGACCCTGTCTCTAAAAATAAATAAATAATATAACATAATAAAAATAAATATAGACTAGCATCTTGCCTCTTACTGCTCTCACCACAGAATTCAGTTAATAGATGATGTTATGGCTCTGAAAGCACTGAACACCCATTACTGCAGCATTCTAGATAATTTTAAATAGACAGTGAAAATGTACATTTGGTTATTGCAATATATAGAGTAAAAGTTTTTTTAGGTTTCCAGATTGTTGAATAATGCAACAGTATCTGTGGTGGAATGCCTTCATCTTCTATAGGTGCTTAGGAATATATATTATTAAGAATTCAATGTGGCCAGGTGCAGTGGCTCAGCCTGTAATCCCAGCACTTTGGACTGCCTGAGCCCGGGGGTTCGTGATCAGCCTGGGCAACTTGGTGAGACCTCGTCTCTGCAATAAATCACAAATTCTAGCTGGGTGTGGTGGCGTGTGTCTGTAGTTCCAGCTACTTGGAAGGCTGAGGCAGAAGAATTGCCTAAGCCCTCAGCAGGTCGAGGCTGCGGTGGCTGTGAGCGTGCCACTGTACTCCAGTGAGACTCCAGTGAGGGTGACAAGAGTGAGACTCCAACTCAAAAAAAAAAATTCAGTGTACTGGGATTAAAATACTGGACTAAAATACAGTTGTGATCACTTAACACAGTCTATACCTTGGGGGGAAAAAAGAAAGAAAGAATACTTCCCTGTTTGATATTCTCTATTTTAAATCTTCAAGTCAGGATTTTTTTATATAAATTAATGTCTCCAACGTTTGTCCTCAAGATAGTTTTTTTTTTTTTTTACTGAACTTCATCTCCACTTTAAACCTTCATTCTCCACTTTAGAAAACATTAGCTTGGTGAAAACTGAGATTCGGGTGTGTTAGATTTTTATTGCTGCTGTCACAAATTACCACAAATTCAGAGGCTTAAAACAACACGAATATATTATCCTTCACTTCTAAAAGCCAGAAATCCAAAATGGGCTCACTGGGCTAAAATTAAGGGGTCTGCAAGGTTATGTTCCTTCTGAATGTTCTATGAGAGAGTCTGATTCTTTGTCAGTTGCAGTTTTTGGAAGCTACCACATTCCTTGGCTTTTTGCCCCTTCATCATCTTCAAAGTTACCAATCACATCACTCTGACCTCTGCTTCTATGGTCACATCCCCTTCCCTCTCTTGCTAGTCTTTTTCCCTTAGAAGGACCCTCGTGAGTACGTTGGGCTGGCCAGATAACCCAGGATGATCTCCTTATCTCAAGATCCTTAACTGAATTCCATCTGCAAAGCCCCTTTTGACACATAAGGAAATGTTCCAGAGATTAAAATGTAGACATCTTTGGGGCCATTACTCTGTGGTCCACACCAGTCTGTCAGATATTTCTCCTCTCCCTCATTCTTAGGGTGAACACCTCAGGATTCAAGGTCCAAACAGAGGGAGGTCGTGGAATTAAAAGATCATGGGGGAGAAGTCACACTGAATTCTTAACACATTTCACACACAACAATTGCTGACATTACTCTGTCACATTTCTCCCCTGATATAACACACCTATTTGTTTCACATACCAGCTGATGTCATTATTTTACACTTTAAATAGAAAAACATAGTTTCATAGCTTACCTGGCTCAGGTTCAACACCAGAAGTCACTCAAGGGATGTTCCTGTGGCAGCCTTCTTGATGGTGTCACGGAAATTCAAACCTACTGAACTTGGAAACATCATCCTAAAACACACACACACACACACACACACACACACACACACACACACACACCCTCTCTCCTAGATCTTCTGTGTAAAGTTCAAGTGGGTCTCAGCATCTAAAAGGACACACCAGGAACAGTAAATACACTAGACTATGTTCAGCCCAATAGGATACTTTCAATTTAAACACAATTTATTTGTAATATATTGATCTTTGTGGCTACTTTTGGGGGGTTTTAATCTAGTCCCAAAACATGCTTTCTATATCAGGATAAATCTTTATGAATTTGCTTCTAGTTTGTGCATACTTGCTTCCTTGGAAAAATAACCAACAAATCTTTTTTTGTTTATGTTTTTGTTTTTCCCCTCAAATACAGGAGAATGTGGAATTGCAGAGTCTGATGTGGCTGTGAGTGCAATGTACCCTAGTATCCCCAGAGATTCAGGTATGAGCCCAGATGCAGGGTTCTCACTTCCCATCACTGCAGGTCACTTTTCTTCCCCCGCTCCAACCCTCTCCCAGCCTTCTTCAGGCGGATTTTTATGTTTTCTAGTTCTTGTACCACCACCTCCCACCCAAGGAAACTCATCTGTGCACAAAGGCAAAACTCCCTGGGAACCTGCATCTCCTGGCACGTACTTCCGGAGGACACCAGCCATTGACAGTTACTTCTTTTGATGGCAAACCAGTTTCAGAACTACCCGGTCATCTCTCAGCTATTTCCTGGGAGTGCGAGGAACTGCCGGTTGCTCACCTGTGCCACAGAAGAACCACAGGAGACTCCCAGGACTACCTAGGTGCCTCCTCTGACTGGGCCAGCAGCTACCACCTCTGCTCCTTTACATGGCTCTGCGTTGGACATGGTGCCAAGGACACCGAGGACTCTCCACAGGGTAGACGCACGCTCCACCAGACCTTGTGTGCCATCAGATCCCCAGAGGAATCTGAGGGGGTTTGTACTCTTCACTGGGCTCAGCCCAAAGCACAGCGGGTGCAGGGTCCTTTCTCAGAGACCCTCTGTAGCCTCTGGTATTTGATCACCCACACTTATGAGAGGGGGTCTAGGAAAATGACTTTTAAACAAATATCCCTATATCTTCTGAAGCAAATAGTATTGATACATAAGCCACACTATGTCCATGTACATTTCAAATACAAAGATTTGAGGTCAGATCTGTGCCTTCATTTTTACATGTTTACCTTTTTTTTTTAATAGTGCAATAATTGTCCTGGATTGATGACAAACACTGAATAACAAAACTTTTCTTTATCTAAAATACGTTTAGCACATCCTGTCTTTGTTAAGCCAACTGCGTGTCCTCTGCCATTAAATGTGATCACTAAAGTAGAGTGGCCTCAATTAACTGAGAACAAGCCAAAGCCATTATTGACACTAAATTACTAAAATCGTTAACATCACTGAGAATAGGAAAGAGAAATAAATGGGCCTTTAGGCAAGGAATAAATAAGGGAGATGATTTCACTTGCCAGTAAAATAAAAGTTATTTCTTGTGTCGATAGAGGCTTGGCAATGAACCGTTGAAATGTGCATAGCCAAAGTTTGCCAGTGACAATTAGAAATTAGTACTCTAACCATTATCTTCTGTCCTCCAGTTAATAACAGAGCAGGGAGTATTCTTATAGCATGTGGTCACCAAACCAACAATATCAGCATCACAGGGAACTAGTTAGAAAATGAAATTTCTCAGGTCCCTCCCTGACTTACTGGGTAAGAAACCATCAATCTGTATTTTAAAAAGCTTTAACTGTCAGGCAGGGTGGCTCTTGCCTGTAATCCCAGCATTTTGGGAGGCTGAAGCAAGAGGATTGCCTGAGTTCAGGGGTTCCAGACCAGCCTGGACAACTTGGCAAGACCTTGTCTCTACAATAAATCAAAAACATTAGCCGGGTGTGGTGACACATGCCTGTAGTTCCAGCTAATTGGAAGGCTGAAGTAGAAGGATTGCCTGAGCCCAGCGGGCCAAGGTTGCAGTGGCCGTTGAGTGTGCCACTGCATTCCAGCCTAGGTGACAGAGTGAGACTCCCACTCAAAAAAAAAAGGCTTTAACAAGAATGTTTTGGCAACTCTGCTGCAGGCCAAAGTTTGAGAACCTCTAGTATAGAGAGAAGCCAAGAGCAAGTTATTTCTGTATCATGCAGTGACTAAAAGTTAAAAAAAAAAAAAGCTAAGATAAAGTAGTTACAGGAAAGGAAGTAAGAAACACTAAGTGGGGGGGAACACCAACACAAATCAGATTTACATTAAAGAATCTGGTTATTTTCAGACAGCTGAATCAGATGCTCAAACCTTTTTTAGCATCCTACGCCCACTTCTGGTCTGTATCTTCTTCCCACTGGGGAAAAAAAATCCTTCGGTTCAATTTAATTAGCATTACAGTTTACAATGTGTGTTCATACACATTATCTCATTTGATCCTCATAGTAATCCATGCAATAGGCAAGGATTATTCCCACTTTATACATGAGATGACTGGAACTGAGAGATTAAGGGGTTTAATGAAGCTACACAGTTATTAATGAGCAGAGTCAGAATTTGAATTCTATACCTTTGCTAATCCATGGTCTTTCTGATCACTAAATTTACTACTTTACTTTGCATACTACTTTTGAGAAATTTATTCCAGGATTCTCAAACTGCATTATTGATAAATGGGGACTGGCTAATTCTATAGGGTGGTGGGGGAGCTGCATTTGTCCTCAAGCAAAATTCCTGGCCTCCAACCACTAGATGGCAGGAGCACCACCCCATCCCACCCCCTGCACAACCCCTCAAGTTGTGACCATTAAAAATGTCTGGAGGAGCCGGACTTGGTGGCTCACCCTGTAATCCCACGCCTTTGGGAGGCTGAGGTGAGTGGATTGCCTGAGCCCGCGAGTTCGAGACCCATCTGGGCAACTTGGCGAGACCTCATCTCTACAATAAATCAAAAAAATGAAAAAATCAGGGAGGCGTGGTAGTGCATGCCTGAAGTTCCAGCTACTTGGAAGGCTGAGGCGGAAGGATCGCCGGAGCCCAACAAATTGAGTGAGACTCCAACTCAAAAAAAAAAAAAAAAAAAAAAAAAGTCTGGAGGCAATGCCAGATGTCCCTAGGAGGGGATGTGGGGCTAAAACACCTCTGTTGAAAACATCTAATTTAGTTTAACTAAAGCAGGGATTCTCATGCTTTGGCATACACCAGAATCACCTGGAGAGCGATACATTTCAAATTGCCAGGGTTTGCCCTAGAATTTTCGGTTCAGTAGGTCTAGGAGGGACCTGGGAGTTTGCATCTCCACAAGTTCCTGGGTAATGCTGATATTGTTGGTCGGAGGACTACAGTTTGAGAAACAGTGGTCTAAACCATTTGTCGTCAAAAATATATCCATAAAAAGTACGTTTTCTAGTTAGAATGTTTTGTTACACAAAAAAGAATAATCAAAACCACCAAATGTTGGCTTGATCCACAGCACAGCAGCTCTGAATACAACTTCTTCTCATACCGCCAAGCTGGAGTTGAAGCTTAAATGGCGTTTCCATTATAATTGGTGACCCTTGAATAGTATTTTTAAAAGATATGTTCTTATGTTGCTGAGTGGTAAAACCCTCATACTTTTTACTTCCCACATCTCCTTATGAAATTTTAATATGAGTGGAATTGTGCAGTTTGTGTCTTTCTGTGCCTGGCTTATTTCATTTAACCTCATGTCTTCCAGGTTCATCCACGTTGTCCCAAATGACAGGATGTCCTTTTTATAGTCGAATACTATTCCATTGTGTATACATATATTTTCTTGTATTTATTGATGGACACTTAGGCTGGTTCCATACCTTGGCTATTATGAACAGTGCTACAAAAGGCATGGGGGTGCAGTTATCTCTTCAACATACTGATACCTTCTATTTTTTATTTTTGGTTATATACCCTGTCATGGGATTGCTAGATCATATGGTAGTTCCATTTTTAATTTTTTGAGGAAACTCCATATTCTTTGTACAATGATTGGGCTCATTTACGTTTCCATCAATGCACAAGTCCCCTTTTCTCCACTTGTAATCTTCTTTTTGACAAGCCATTCTAACAGGCATGAGGTGATATCTCGTTGTCTGAATTTGCATTTCTTTGATTATTTGTGATGTTTAGCATTTTTCATATAATTCTCTTGACCATTTGTATGTCTTCTTTTGAGAAATGTATGTTCAGTTCATTTGCACAATTGTTAATTCAGTTATGCATTTTTTTACTATTAAGTTGTCTGAGTTTCTTATATTTTTGGACATTAACCCCTTGTGAAATGTACAGTTTGCAAATATTTTCTCCTATTCCATAAATTGTCTCTTCTCTCTGTTTATTGTTTTCTTGGCTGTATAAAAACTTTTTAGTTTGGGGTAATCCTATTTGTCTTTTTTTATTTTTGTTGCCTGTGTTTTGAGGGTTATATTCAAAAAAAGTATTGTCCAAACCAGTGTCATGGAGCTTCTCTCTATTTTTTTTAGTAGTTTTATAGTTTCATTACTTAAGTTATTAATTTATTTTTAGTTGATTTTTTATAATGAGACATGCTAGTCTAATTTCATTATTCTGCATGTAGATAGTCAATTGACCTAACACTATTTACTACAGAAACTTTTTTTTTTAGTGTAAGTTATTGTCACCACCTTTGTTGAAAATCAGTTAACTGTAAATAACTGCATTTATTTCTGGGCTCTCTATTCCACTTCATCAGTCTTGTGTCTTTTTTTCATGCCAGCACCATGCTGTTTTTATTGCTATGACTTTGTAGTAAATTTTGAAGTCAGGCAATGTGATGCCTCCAGCTTTGTTCTTTTTGCTGAAGATTGCTTTGGCTCTTCGGGTTAAAATATAATTTTTTTTTGCTGAAGATTGCTTTGGCTCTTTGGGGTAAAATATAATTTTTTAAAGGAAGGATATTTTATGTAAAAGAATAAATTAGTTTTATTAAAAGATGTCATGCTTATAATGATAATGAAAGCGTCCATAGCTAATACTTGTAAAGTAGTAGGAAGGTCAAGCAAGGGGAATTATTTCTCTAATCTGCATTTTATTTTTTTTTTAAACTATAAATATGAGGAGTACAAATTAGGATTAGTTATACAAACAGACTTCATGCAGGTGAAGTTTGAACCTCCACCGGCTCTCATTTCCCCTGGTTTAGGCCCAGCTACCCTTTGTGATGCTACATGCTCCTTCCTCTCCTTCTTACCCTGGCAGGGTCCATTGACTTCTGATTCCTCTCGTGTGCTAATGTGATTAATGTTCAGGTCCCCATTATGAATGAGAACATTCAGTAGTCAGTTCTTTGTTTCTGTGAAAGATCACTAAGTACGACGGTCTTCAACTCCATCTAATTTGCTGAAGATTCCAAGATTTTGTTTTTCTTTCTGACTGTATAGAACTCCATCATGTATATGTACAACATTTTCTTTCTTTAGTCCACTTCTGATGGTCAGTGGGGTTGGTTCCATGTTTTTGATGTTGTGAATAGTGCAGCTATAAACATGCGTGTGCAGGTGTCTTTTTTGTAGAACAATTTATGTTCCTCTGGGTATATTCCCAGGAGAGGTATTGCTTGATTGTATGGAAGGTTCATGTGTAGTTATTGAATGGCCACACTGCTTTCCATAGAGGTTGAAATAGCCTACACTCCCATCAGCCGTGTGGAAGTGTTCTCTTTACTCCACATCCTAGCCACCAACTATTGTTTTTTATTTATTGGTGAGTGCCATTCTTACTGGAGTTAGGTGGTATCTCATTGCAGTTTTGATTTGTATTTCTCTGATGATTAGCAAGGCTGAGCATTTTTTCATGTATTTATTAGCTGCTTGTATGTCTTCTTTTGAGAAGTTTCTATTCATCTCCTTTGGCCGCTTTTTGGTAGGATTCCTTTTTTTTTTTTTCCCTTTCCGCTCATTTGAGTTCTTTATAGATCCTGAACGTTAGGCCTTTGTCAGATACATAATCAGCAAATACTTTTTCCCATTCTGTGGGTTGTCTCCCCACTCTCTTG